TTGAATGCATATCCACATATTTGTGTGTGTAATGATACATATGCAGATTTTCTGTTCCTGTTGAATACATCTTGGAAATATGTCACCCTGGCAAAGAAACAGTCCAGAAGAGGAAGGAAGTGAGGCAGAGTGATTTTAGGAATTGTCTTTCCAGAACCCGTGCCCAACCTCGTGGTTGCTGGTTGCAGAGATGGAAGAACAAAGTGAATGCCTCCTAATGCCTTTCTTTGTGGCAGAGCAGGATGTCTCCAGAGCTACGGATCCGTGTTCATGAAGATTTGGTTTTGGGAAGCAGCAGAGAGAAGGGCTTGGGAGCCAGTGCTGTGTATGCACCCCCAGTCCTGCCACCTCCCTAAAGCTTGTGCACTCAGGTGTGAAGGCAGGTGCTGTCGGGTGGGGAGAGGCCCACCTGTCTACACAGGCTCACCTGCGCTTCTCCAACCAGTAGAGGCATTTATCCCTGTTTCCCGGCAGCAGCAGATGGGAAGGCTAGGTATTGAGGGGTTGCCTGGATTGGGGTGTGTGGTGGGGATGATCTAGCCCTGCCCACCATGGTGGGTGGTTCAGATAGAGGTAGTCCCAGCTCAGGCTGGGAGCTGCAAGGAACGGAGTGTGCTGGGCCATGGATAGTGGCAGTGCAGGGGCTCATGGCGGAGAGCAAATTCTGTTCCCAGAGCCAGAACTTGGGCTAGATCACAAGGGCCATCAGAGGGGAGAAGCTGTTTTGGGGACCTTGTTGTGGCTGCCCCTCAAATGTGCCAAGCTCATTTTCTCCGTGAAGACTTTGCTCTGGCTGTTCCACCGTGGCACACTCCCTTTCAGTCCTCCCTGTGTCGTCTGCCCTCATTTATGTCTCTGTTGAAAGGACACCTCCCCCAAGAGGTCTTCCCAGACTCTGCCCCCACCTTGTCCAAAACAGGAGCAACCCAAGGCATCTCTTTTTAACCCTGTTCCTTGTAACTACCTGGATGTCTGTGACACAATGGTTTGTATAATCACTATCAGCTCCATGGGTGGTACACAAGCCCCATGAAGTTCCTGTTAGTTCCTCTTGTTGTCACATCCCCTGTGCCTGGCACATGTTAAATGACCACCACAGAGCCTGCTCCTCTCCAGTCATTGCTATAGCGCCCTGCATCCAGGGATAAAGCAGGCCATGTGGGAACCGAAAGAGCTGCCACTAGGCTATAATGCTTTGGGGTCTATGGTAAACTGAACTCTAGCCTTCAAATATGGTCAGCTTCAAAATCCTGTGAATATGCGTGTTCCTTTACATGGCGAAAGGAACTTTACAGGTGACAGGGAGTGATCTGGAGATGGCGTATGCTCCTGGGTCATCTGGTGAGCCCAATCTCATCACCAGGGTTTTTGTAAGAAGGAGGGAGATGGAGATTTGACTGCAGTGGTGAGAGCTCTGGCAGGAGAAGCAAGAAGTCAGAGTGATGTAGGGAGGGGCCACAAGGAAAGGAAAGTGGGAAAATTCTGGAAGCTGGGCTGGGCGTGGTGGCTCATGCCTGTAATCCCAGCACTTTGGGAGGCTGAGGTGGGCAGATCACCTGAGGTTAGGAGTTCAAGGCCAGCCCGGCCAACATGGTGAAACCCCACCTCTACTAAAAATACAAAAATTAGCCAGGAGTGATGGTAGATGCCTGTAATCCCAGCTACTTAGGAGGCTGAGGCAGGAGAATCACTTGAACCCTGGAGGTGGAGACTGCAGTGAGCCAAGATCGCACCATTACACTCCAGCCTCGGTGACAGAGCGAGACTCTGTCAAAAAAACAAAAACAAAAAAACAGAAACAAAAAGCAAATTCTAGAAGCTGGAAGAGGGGCAAGGAACAGATTCTCTCTTGTATCCTCCAGGAGGAACTCAGCCCTGTCAACACCTTGATCTTAACCCTGTAGGACTCATTCAGGGCTCCTGGCCTCCAGAACTGCAAGATAATACATTTATGTTGCTTCAAGCACACAAGTTTGGGGTAATTTTTTACAGTAGCAACAGAAAATGAAAACAAGGCCCGAGACTGCTCACTCTGGGTGCCCACCTGGGAGTCACACAGGGACAACTTTCTTCTTCTCACTGTGAAACCAGAGGTGAAGCTCTCACAGAGATATGTGATTTGAGAGCAGCTCGCAGATTCCCAGGTCTTGTGACTTTGGCCAATGAAGGTAGCTTGGGTCAAAAAGAGCAGCTTAGCTGTGAAGAGGCCCTGTGGGAATCCACCTGGGTTTCACAGCCAAGTCCCTACCACCACCTTCCAGCCTACCAAGGAGTCCCAGAAAAACTGTAGAGGGGACTTCTGCAGAGGGATTTTATTTTATTTTTTACTGGGCTGGGAGCTCAGAGCCCTTGAGATTCCACTAGCCGTGGTAGGATGCCTGCAGTCCCGTTGCTGGAACAGTGGCTGATGTATATTTCCTTGGTTTTAAAAGCTGATTCTATCCCTCCAGACTTTTGTTTCCTTTAGGGTCTGGATTATATTCTATCCAGCTATGGACTCCAGTGTCTGACATTAGTAGGTTCTTAACAAATGTTAAAATAAGTGAAGAAAAAAAAAAAGCCCTTGGGGTCACGCATGGCTGGAACTTCAATTTCCCTTCTGATCTCCCTCTTCTTTAGAGACCTCATTTTACCCGTGTCCACAAGTATGGGCTGGTGAGGCTCTACCTTATACCTGGAGATCATGCTAGTTCTCTCTCTCTCTCTCTGATGTTCCAGAACTTATTCAACTAAGTAGTCTTATTCAAGCTGAGTCTCTCAGCTCACCTCCCCTACCACCTCCCAACCATGCCGCTGGCAGCAGGCTCTGCAAGGCCCCGCCCTGGCCATGCTCCTGCCCCTCTAAAGCACTTCTGTGACTCCTGGTCCTCAGGACCAAGTCTGTCCCCTCAGCAGGCCTCGCCAGCCCCCTCATCTGTGCCCTGCTCCCCACCCAGCCTTGTCCCTGGCCATGGCCCTCCACAGGTCCCAGGGCACAGGGGACTTGACTCTCCATGAGCTCAAGTCTTTCCCTAGGTCTAGTGAGCTCCCAGTTCCCCTTCCAGCCCTGACTCCAGGGCCTCCTCTGCATGGTGGCTTCGTTCATTCTTCAGTCCTTCACCTGCTCAGCACACCTCTCCTTAGTCCTGAATATAGGGTTTGCACCCCTCACTTTGTTCTCTGACTCAGCTTTTTTTTTTTTTTCCTTCATAGCACTTATTATAACTTATTGTAATTTAATGTGGGTCTCATCCCTCTTTTCTGTCTGTGTTCCCACTGGTGTTACCGGAAAAGAAACCCAATCCAGACTCCAGGAGAATAATTCAAGGCAAGTTCATAAAATGAAAGCAAATTTATTAGGGAAGTAGAGAAGCAAAAGGATGGCTATTCCATAGGCAGGGCAGTGGCGTGGGCTGCTTGACCAGATATACTTATAGTTCTTTCCTGATTATATGCTAAACAAGAGGTGGATTATTTGTGAGTTTTCTGGGAAAGGGGAGGGGATTTCCCAGAACTGAGGGAAACTTTTAGACCATATAGGGTAGCTTCTGTACGTTGTCATGACATTTGTAACCTATCATGGCACTGGTGAGAATATCTTGGTTTTGGTGGGTTTTGGCCAGCCTCTTTATTGCATCCTGTTTTATCAGTGGGGTCTTTGTGGCCTGTGTCTTGTACCTGCCTCCTATCTCATTCTGTGACAAGAATGCAGCCCAGTAGGTCTCAGCCTCATTTTACCCAGTCCGTATTCAAGATGGAGTTGCTCTGGTTCAATGCACTAGTATGCTCAAAGGTGCACGCACTGGGCTTTCGCAGGTGCAATCACTCTCTTTTCTGCCTCCCGTCTTCCTGGTAACTGACAAGCAGGGCACTCATCTCAGCTTCTCTCCTTTCTGGTGATAGGGCCAGCCCTCTCCTCTACTTGATGGGCACCAGACACGAAGGAGGGGGGTTCAGTCAACACATGTGAAATGAATTTCCACAAGAGTGGCTAGAAAACAAGACCGGAGAGGGAGGAAGCAGCTGGATTTTTGAGAGCTCCCTGGGTCACAGAGGAGCCCGATTCTGCCTGTTTATGAAATTGTTGCTACCCAGCAGGCAACCAAATAAAGACACCCCAGAGTTTAGGAGACAGAATGGGAGTTGGGGGTGGGGGAGGTCAGTCACACGGATTAAGCCATGTCCTCATCTAGTTCAAAATACTCCTGCCTGGCCCATTTTTAGGAACAGTGCTCAGAAAGAAAAAGTAGAAGGGTGCCCCGGGCCTGCACCTGTTCATGGTCTGCCTTTGGGGGCTGGGAAGCCCATTAGCCAGGCGAGCGTCCTCATCAGGCCAACGTGGGCCCACATCCCTGCTCTGCTGGGCGCGCTGGCAGGCGATAAAGGCTCTCTCAGAGGCTTCACTGTCCTCATCCCCAAAACAAGGACGCGATGACTCTGTCCTCAGAGCTGAAGTCACAGCCAGCGAACAGGGCTGCCTATAGGTGGAACCCCTGGCACAGAGGGGTGCGGGTTACCTGCTCTCACTTGCTCAGACAGGAGGGACACTCTCAGATCTGGACAAAGAGCCAAGCGCGCCCCCTCCCCAGGCCCCCTGGTGGCGCCAAACTTCCCAAAGTTTCGGGCAGCTGCAGCACTAGTCGGTGGTCTATTTCAGACCAGCTGGAAAAGGGAGCAGAGTATCAGTGGAGTCTATAATTGGACAGAAAGTTGTCAGCCCCTCTTTTGGGCTTCCCAGGGCAGCCTCGTTACTGCCTGGACCCTAACGCCGTCCAGTCCCCCACAGCCCTCCCGAGGTCCCTGCCCACCTTTCCCCGCAGCCCCCTCGCCACTGTCCGGGCCCTCGTCGGCCTCTCTCGTTTTCTCTGGGGTCCGCCCCTGCACCTCCGGCCCCTCCCCGCTCCCAGCCCCCTGATTTTCTTCCTCCTTCGCGGCTTGGCCCCCGCCCGCTCCCGCCCGGCGCTCCTAGGCCCGCCCCCGCCCCAGCTCCTCCCCAGCCCCGCGCTCTTAGCCGGGGAATCCCAGCGCTGAGGCCAGTTTGCCCCTGGGGAGGCTCCAGACAGCTTTGTTCCAGGGCAGTGGCGGGGCTGGCCGAGGCTGCGGCATTTCTCCCCAAGGAAGTGTCTTCCCCGCTTTCCCTATTCTTCTGTTTCTCACACACTTTCTATCTCATTCTGTAACTTTCAAGCCTTTCTTTCTAACTGTATGTATTTAGTTACTTGTTTTCAAGCTGGTTCTCTCTCTGGCCCCCTGGCCTGGGGAAAGCCTCCACACTTACTGCAAGTCTTGTTTAGAGTCTGAGTTTGTGAGATTATTGGGGGGAGAGTGGTCGAGTGGCTGACAGGTGACCTCCAGGAGGAGGCTTCCTGGAGCTGGTGTCTTCTCCCAGCTGCTGCTTCCAGTGGGCCTGGGCCCAGGACTGGACCTCCGCGGGCATCCCCTGAGTGCCTCCCTGCCAGGTAAGAACCGGGTTCTCTTCGTTGCTGCAGTGCTGAAGGTCACAGACTTCAGCTGACGCCCGTCTTCCCAGATGACAGTGAGGGACGAGAGGCGGTGGGGAGGTGGATGCCGACTGGGGAGATTGTTCTCTCCAAATACAGACGCGTTTCCTTCTGAAGCCTGAGCACACTTTGCTCTTTAGGGACTGACCATAGTTGGAAGCAGATGTGTCTGTGCCTTGACTTAACTTCAGAGTAAAATAGAGGCAAGTCCGTGAGAACACACCTGCTTGATTCTAGCTGAGCCGTCAGGAGCCCAGCGATGGCCGCCGAGCGTCAAATGCAAGAGCTTGTTTTCGGGTTGCTATAATACTTTAAAGTAGTTGAGATGTACCAGCTCTTAAAACTTTCAAGTAAGAAGTTTGCAGTAAATGGAGAAAAAGATGCGGGGGAAATGGAGCACGGGGTGGGGGAAGAATAGTCTTCCTCTGGTTTTACATTTACTGTCAAGGAACTTAGCTTTCTTGATCTAGATTTAGATCTCGTTCCTATTTGAGCATTTTATCCCCCCTCTCCCAGCCTTCTCTAGATCAGAGAGGCGTTTTTGTCCTTCCCCCAACCCCTGCGTATCATATTCTGCAGCAGACCAGGGTTTCGTGTGCCACTTTATCGAGCACAATTTGAATTAGTTGTGTTATTGGAAAATGAGTCCTCACTTCTCCCCACTCAAGGCAAGACTCAGGGATGACAGGTGGACAAGCTTATCAAGCATCTGCAGAAGGAGGCGCCGCCTGCCGGCTTGTCCCAGAGCTGTGTGCTGGGTCCGCCTCCTCAGAACTTCATTCCAGGACTTGTCATCTTCCAGAGCCCCATCCTGACACTTTTTTTTTTTTTTTTTTTGAGACTGAGTTTCGCTCTTGTTTCCCAGGCTGGAGTGCAATGGTGTGAGGTGCAATCTTGGCTTACTGCCACCTCTGTCTCCCAGGTTCAAGCGATTCTCCTCCTGCCTCAGCCTCCTGAGTAGCTGGGATTACAGGCATGAGCCACCACAGCCGGCTAATTTTGGATTTTTAGTAGAGGCGGGGTTTCTCCATGTTGGTCAGGCTGGTCTCAGGTGATCCGCCCACCTCGGCCTCCCAAAGTGCATTACAGGCATGAGATACCATGTGCGGACCCATGCCAACACTTTTATGTCTACATGGGTCATTCTCACTCCTAATCTGTCTCTGATTATTTCTACCAGGCAAATCATGGAAAGCTGAAGGCCACATCTTCAGACTCCTCCTGGTTGAGTTCAAAGGTTCCAGGAAAATTTGAAATTGCAGGGCTTCATTTTTAGAGGCCTACTGCATGGGGTGTGCTGCCTAGCTGCATGCAAGGTGTAGTTGAAGGGTGTAAGCTTTGCTGCTAATCTTGTCTTCCAGTGCTAACTCTGTTGCTCTCTCTGGTTGCCCTGGGTCATGTGGCTATCCTCAGTGAGCCTCAGTTTTCTCTTTTGCCAATGGAGCTGATGGAAGAGATAGGGATAGATAACACAAGAGGTATCTGGTATGTGGTGAGCATGCAATATATCTTAGCTTGCTTCTGTTTCACAAACCTGGGAAGCTTCAGCAGGAAGCACCCCCACCTCATTCTAGATTTCCTTGTTGCTGTGCTATTGAGGCACTGCACAACTGCAGGAAATGGTCACTTTGATATTGTTGGGCCTGTCTTATTAGACAAGATGTTGCATCCAATGAGGATATTCTTTCCTGGGATCCAGGAGTGGCTCCCAGGGATCCGTGCATCCTTTCAAATGTTTGGAGCAGAAGTTTGTGTCTGGTTTTTCTGTGGTTTCGTCAAACTTTCATCCAATTCACAAAAGGTTTTGTACCCATAAAATGATTAAATAAATGGCCCCTAGACGGATGCAGTCCACAGACAGTTTTAAGACTTTGTGTGTGGTTTCAGTTGTTGCCAACATAAAATGATCAGGAGATTCCATGTTACAAATCGTAGTCTCTGGCTTCTCTTTTGGCTTGAATCCCTGCAAGGCTGTCAGTGACTGGGATGAGGATTAGCCACCCACTTTAGACAAGGCATGTGCCCACTGGTCATCCACTGTCATCTGTGTGACCTGTAGGGCCTCTGAAGACCTGGGAGCTTGCTTGCTCTGAGCTAGAAGATCAGGGTTATCTCTCTCTGATTTCATTGTAGGAGAGTCACAGATAAGTGAAAGTGCATTTAGAGGAGACAAATCAGGATTTCCTGGGAATAGAAGTCATAGCCTATGTGGAAGGATACTACCATAGGAAGGTCTTCTAGTGCAGAGAAGACAGTGGCCTCAGCCATTTGGGGGGCTGCCCTGTAGAAGAGGCAGCTGGTCTGCTGTCTTGGTCCGCAGAGGGTCCAGCTGAAAGGATGAGTGGAGGAGCTTCACTGGATGTTGGATTCCTTTGGTTCAGTTCAGTTGGAAGACCTTTCCAAAGACAAGAGGGAGTGGTTTATTAGGGAGTGAGTCCCCCACTACAGGAGGCATCCAAACAGATCCAAACTGATCCAGACAGGTTTAGATCAGTTGTAAGGAATGCTTGAGCTAGGTAAGCTTTTAAGGTCCTTCCTAGCTTGAGATACTGCAATTACCAAACGCTTCCCTTCCAGCCTTAAGAGTCTGCTAGTTCCCTCCTGCATCCCTCTCTTCCTTCGAAGGTGCTTATGATGTTTTTGATAGAGGTCAACACAGGTGGTGTGGTTACTATGGGCCAGGACCATGGACTAGGTGTGTGTCATTCATATCTCAGTTTCAGAAACAAGGAAATGAAAGATCAGAGTTTGAATGATTTACCTGGGAATAGGCAGAGGGAATAAAGAGGAAGTGGGATTCAAAGCTCATTTTTGTTTCAACAGAGGCCTTTTCCCACATGCTGGGAAGGACGCAGGCCTTCCGAAGAAGACCAGAAAATGAGAAAGGCCCACAGGAATGTGTTAGGGTAGGAAAGTTCCCTGAGGATTTTTTTTAGCCAACCCCCTATTCAAGAATTCAAGACGTATTTATCAGGTTACCAGAAAAAGATAACTGCAAAATCGAGGAAGACCAAGCCCTAGTAAGATGGGAAAAGTGTCATTCTCCTATTTCGCAGACCAGGGAACAGAGAGTTCTGGAAAGTGGGAATGACCTGCCAGATCTGCATTTTGAGACAGAACTGAGTCTCAAACATAGGTCTCATGAGGTACCAGGACACGGAGGGATTGACCTGTCACTCTTCCCACCTAGGATCCAGCATTTGTGTGTGCCGCTGTGGTTCTGTGTGTATATGTGTGTGTGTGTGTGTGTTGAGGGGAAGAGTTGGTGTCCGAGACGTCCAGCCCAAGGCCAGGCGACTAGACTGACATCTCTTTGCACTTTGCCTGAGGCCAGCATGAGGTTCATTGAATCAATGAGTGAGTGAATAAGTGGCTACATGAATGAATAATTGAATGAATAAATCATATGACATGACCATTCCTCAGCTTTCTTATTGAGTAAAGTCAACCCCTTGCTTTGTGGTGTTACCGAGTTTCATTTTGTGTTGCTTCTTCACATTCCTGCAAGCGGATGGACCATGATAGGTGAACCAGTCCCTTCCTGCCGCTGTGGTGAGCATTTTTGTTTGTGTACAATATTTCCCCCATTGGTCAATGATGTATCTCAGATTATTCTTAAGGAATAGGATTTCTGGGTCAGAGGGCATCGGCATTTTGATGGTTCTCAGGAGTTATTAGTTATTAGGAGCACTCATGAGAGGCTGAAAGCAGGGCTAACATCCTGGCACAAGCAAAGGGAAGTCCTGGCAGATACCCAGAGAGTGTTTGAGGGTGGCCCTGCCAGCCCATTGTGGTTGTGAAGATGCCCTGCTGGAAGCAGCTCAGAGGCCTCCTGGGACAAACTCAGCCATGCCAGCTCCCTCCTGCTGTCCACTTGCCTTAACTTATACACTCCCAGTTACTGGAAGCTCACTACTAGTTAACCCTGGTTGTGTTCTGATAGAGATTAGGGTATCTTAATTTTTTTTTTTTAAGTTTGGCTTATAGTAAAATTTTTCTAAAAAATCAGAATTGATACCATCTCTTGGTTGAAACTGTATCGTAAGGAGAAGCTTTTCCTTTAACTGCACACTGGCAGGTCCAGGCCAATTGGAGCTGGCCTCACCTGCCCCGTGGCTGAGTTGTCAGGGGCACATTCTGCTCTTGGTGCTATAAAGACAGAAAAAAAAAAAAAAAAAAAGGCAAGTCAGCCACAAGTAAAAATAAGGAAAAAATAAAATGTCATTTTAAAAATTAGGCATAAAACTTCACTTATGCAAGAGGAATAAGTTCTGGAGGTCTGCTCTATAACATTGTGCCAATACATAGCAATGTTTTGTTGTAAACTTTATTAGGAGAGTAGATCTCATGTTAAGTGTTATTACTATACTACAACAAAATAGAACACAAGTACAAGTAAAACAGCCACGAGCTTCATTGTGATTTTGCATTAAGGATGATCACATATAATTTTGCCGAATAATTATGACTATGATAGGCCCTTTATATCTGCGGGCTGCAGGACGTCTATCACAGGCAGCCTGTCCAGCTTCCTCATCTGTTGACTGGATCCTATTACCTTTCTCCCAGGTTCTTGCCCACCTTCTTCTTGCGCACCTCCAGGGGCAGAGGGATTGCTACCTCCCAAGGCAACCTCCAGTGCTTTGTTGGATATCTGGTTTAAAATTCTTCCTCTTATTCAAATGAAAGCGCTCTTTCTGCCATTGCCATCTGTCTGACCTTATTCCATCTTTTTTGGGGTACTTAGAATAAATTATATCTTTTTTCCTATGATAGAGTTTGAGCTCTGTAAAAGCAAAAATAATATGCCCCCAACCCCATGTGAGATTGAGTGCCAGTTGGTGCCAGGCGGTATGTGAGATATTATCACATAGATCCTTTCCTCCTGTGAATTAACTATGCTGTTACCCCCTTTACAGATGGACACATTGAGGTTTAGGAACATTTGGTCCCTTAGC